TGGAACCCACATACATCTTCAGAACAGAGAACTTTGCCACTAGAGCCACATGGCTCTGGCACTACACTACGCAATTAACTAATCATGTTAGAAACCAGAATACAAACACAATTTATGGCTAGCACAATAAATGCAGCATAGTTATTACCAACTTGTATTGGATTGATATCATTAACATGACAACGACATGAAAAACATCACCGCCTATAAATGACATGAAAATAACATGACTCAATTTGTTAGTTTAATTTAAAATTTTCAGAACAATACAAATGAGTTATATAAACTATCCAGGAAAATGTAAAAATATAAACCAATGAGAAGGAAAAAAAAATCACGAGAATGTTATTTTACATATTATTATGATAATAATAATAACTCCTATTATTTTCGTTTATTAGGATTTTCAGTAGTATAAATTTCACATATCATATAACATGTTAGATACTTGATAAAAAGGTTAAAGGATGTACTTTAAATAGATGAAGGTGGGTCATAAATGTATCACAATCGTGCTTTGTTAGCTTAATCCTTATGGCATGATAACTTTTTGTTATAATCATGACAACATGATTTCAAATTAATAAAGATTAGCTTAGCAGAAGCCCATTTGTCTTTTGTCCTGTTTGAACCATGCTCATGTATCCTGTCTTATGTTGCCAAGACTAATGTAACATAACAGTCCAGAAGGAGCAAAACATGCAATTTTATGTACAGGAAACGACAGCCAACCAACAAACGGAAATGGAGCATCAACAGGGAGAAAATCTAAGCCCATCCCCAGTGAATGGATTAAGACACTCTTCAGGTAATCTTTTTTTGCCCTTCCGATTCATAAGCTCTTGCAAAATAAGTTTTACCAAAATTGTAAATGAATAGTATGGTAAATGCTTTGGTTAAGTTAGCTAATTACTTTAGCTCTTGTAAGTAAACATAAAAAATAAAATGCTGAAACAAGGAGGTTCGAACCCAAATTCCATTTTGCATAGTTTTTATTTTTGTGATAAAACCAACTTATATGCTCTAAAAAAATCGAACATCAATGATTTCTAAACATCGCAGCTTCATTTCTTTTCAGGAAACATTGGGAGAAGAAAAGACCAACATTCAAGACTAAAAATATTTAGAAAGACTTAAATTCATGTTGAGATACATGGGAAGACACATCTACGTCCAGGTCAGTAACAAAGCTATACTTACAGCACTGCAATTCTGAGTCCACAATAAGTGAGATACAGAAACCAACCTGTTCACGGCGCCACCGTAACCTGAGATCAGCTGCTTCAGATAGAATCTTCAGTTCAACCTCCTCTTCCAATTGTAATTGAAGTAGCTCAGTTGCACTCTCATATGTCAGCATATATGTTGGTTTAATGATTGAGTTATCAACTGAGTATTCTGCAATGCTGTGGTAGCCAGTAGCAACAAGAATTATTCTCTAAACATGATTTGGGTAACTGTAGGGACTACTTTACATTCTCTTTAATAATTCTTTTCTCAGTTTTTGTCATGCAATTATTTTGTGTTAGACATAATTTTTATATAGACAAGAAATTGTATTTCTAGGTAATCCACAATTTATTGTAATACAATAGATAAGATTACGTCTTCAATTTAAATTTTTTCAAGTACTAAGTTTTCTATT